GGGAATTTCAGGAATTTTCTGGAGGGAATTTTGGGAATTTTTGGGGGAAATTTTGGGAATTTCGGGCTGGAATTAACCCTTTGTTGTCTTGCCTCCAGGTGACGCCGCCGGAAGTTCGGAGTGGGGAAATTCCCGTCAATAAAAACTGAAATTTAAAAATTTGAAAATTTAAATCTTTTTGGGTTTTTTTTTTCTGAGAGCTGCCCCAGCTGGGCCTGGCACACCTGGGCACACCTGGGACAAAAAAGACCGAAAAAAGGGAAAAAGGGAAAAAACAGGAAGAAAATACTATAAAAAGGGGAAAAAGAGGGAAAAAAAGATCGAAAAATGGGGAAAAAAGGGAAAACAGGGGAAGAAAAGGGGGAAAAAAGGGGAGAAAAAGGAAAAAAAGACTGAAAAAAGGGGAAAAAGGGATAAAATGGGAAGAAAGGGGGAAAAGACTAAAAAAGGGGAAAAAAGGGGGGGGGAATGAAAAAAAGACCGAAAAATGGGGAAAAAAGTGGGGGAAAAGGGAAAAAAGAGGGAAAAAGGGGAGGGAAAAGGATAAAACAACCGAAAACGGGGGGAAAGGGAAAAAAGGGAAGAAAAATGAAAAGAAGACTGAAAAAAGGGGAAAAAACGGACAAAAGGGGTGAGGAAGGAAAAAAAGACCAGAAAAAGGGGAAAAAAGGGAGCGGGAAAAGGAAAAAAAGACCGAAAAAAGGGGAAAAAGGGAAAAAAAGGGGAAAAAAGGGGAGGTGGAAGGGAAGAATTGCCAAAAAAAGGGGAAAAATGGGGGGAAAATGACCGAAAAAAGGGGGAAAGAGGGGAAAAAAGGGGAAGAAAAGACAGAAAAAAGGGGAAAAAATGGAAAAAATACCAAGAGAAGAGGCTAAAAGAGGGGGAAAAGGGGAAAAAAGGAGAAGAAAAGACAGAAAAAAGGGGAAAAAAGGGAAAAAAAGACCGAAAAAAGAGGGGGAAAAGGACAAAAGGGAAAAAAGGGATAAAAGGGGAAAAAAGGGGAAAAAAGGCA